TAAGCCTGTGCCCCAGGCTGGGATGGCTTCTGAGACCACACAGGGTCTGCCAGGCCTGTAACTGTTTTTTACCAATCCCTAGCAGGTCCTGATGTGCAGCTAGGCTGTGAAGGGGGTTCCATCTCATGCTCTGGAGGAGACAGAAGGAGAAGCAGGCAGGTTTTGGGGTATGAGAAAGCCTTCGCCATTTTATTTTATAATAAAAAAATTCCGACAGCATATGAACACTCTGTTCCTGGCAGAGGCCAAGGACGTACAAAAGTTAATTAGAAAACAAAGCATTACGTGACCTCAGCTACAGTCAAGGCTCCGGTTCAGTACTCATCTTTGCCCAATGTGTCTAATGGGGTTGGTCAGGAATCGCCAGTCTGGGTTTTCCACCCAGAGGGAAAGCACATGTACGAGTACTTACATATCCTCCAAATGTAGATAACAGCAGCAGCAGCAAAATATAGCTTCAGGTGAGGCTGGCCTTTGTGGGCAGTTAAAACTTAGGAATGGCTTATTTATTTTATATAATATAAATTTTAAAAAATTTATAGAACATGTGACAAATTAGTTCAGTGGATGGAAGGACCTATTTTGTCAGATAAGACAGAATGATGAAACCAACACTTCAGTAAAAATACCTTCAAATAGACTTTTCAAAGCATTTTCACATATGTTATCTACATCCTCCTGAGGACCACCACAGGAAGTAGCAAGTGCTGATATTGTTACACCTATTCCTTACACAGATAAGGAATCAGAGATTGGTTTATAGTGAGTTGACCAAGGCCTTGACAGTTTATGCCTTTTTCAAAATTTCCAGACCAGTGATACTCCTCTGATTATTTGCTACAAACCTTCTCTCAGTTTGTGTGTGGGTTAGGGGTGAGTTTAGACATACTGTGCAGATGGGGGAAAAGTAAGGTCAGGCCCCAGTTAATTTATATTAAATACATTGACAGCCTCCCTCCATAATTTACAATAGTCTGGCCAAGGTCAGAGAACAAAAACGATCAATTTCTAGATTTCGTTGTATAGTTAGTGGTTTTCACTGAAGTGTGGGTTGATCTATGGAGACAAATTCTGCCACATTCCAAATTTCCCTACTTTTGAAACATGCAAAATCAAAGCAACTTAATATCCTTTAAAAGAATTATTAATTCTATTTCCTCAATATTCCTTTCCAGAAACACCCTGCACGTTATCACCTACCACAGGCTAGGAGCCTGTAACAGTTCACCTTAAGAAATCAAGAGACCTTTCAATTCTTGGAACACTAACTTATTATGTTTGAGCCACAAGAATATCAATTTCCCTTGAAACTTATTTTGTTTCAAAAGATTCTATTGAGAGGCTCATGGGTTTTCTTTCTTTTTTTTTTTTTTTTTTAAGATTTTTAAAAAAAATAAGGGGGGAAAGTAGATATCAGGCAAACAGAAAGGCCAGTGTCACTGGCCCTCATATGTGGGATCCGAACCGGGGCCCTCTGGCATCCCAAGCGAGTTCTTAACCATCGCGCCACTCGGCCGGCCCGCTCATGGGTTTTCTCATCCATGCAAGTGTGTAGCCATCAGCCATGTTAATAGCACCTGAGCTGAGGTCATGCATTTCAACTTACAAGTATATATTGTCTGCTGAGCAAGACATTGTGCTAAGTGGGCCTTGGTCAGAAATCACTTCTTAGACCCAGCAGCAGCATCAATAGTGCTGGTGGTGGGTGGGAAGTGGTTGGGTCAGGTCTGGCCAGTCTGCCACGGTTTCAAGTTAACGCATTCTTACTGATGTGCAAATCAAGGAAGCCCTCTCCTCTCTGTGGCAGTATCCATGGGGACTACGCACCTGCTGGCCGGCATCCTAGGAATACTGGTCAATTCCAGTATTTACTGGTCAATCGTAGGTTCCTTTAAAGGTCCTGCCCGCTTATGATCCCTCCTCTGGGTAGTTGCCCCCAACAAAAGCCCTCACTGAAAGAAACAGTCCAAGGGGACATGCTCATGTTACATGACCCAGCCTCCTGGGTTACAGCTGATTGGATAGACACACTGACCCAAGGGTGCCTGATCCATGAACTGGACCAATCAGACTCAAGAATTTGCCCTAGCGGGCACAGAAATGGCAGTCAGAGAAAGATGGGTGCTAAAAAGGAAAGGTTGTGTGGAGTGGGTCCCAGGGTGGATTTTTAGCTACATATAAACCCATGAGAAAACAGAGAAAGCTAGTGGGTGGAGGGGAGCAAGAGGACTGAGCAGATATGCAGAGAGGAACAGAGATGAAACCTGTATGGAGAGAACATGAGAGCAAAAGAGAAGACACAGTCTCCATCCCTTTCCCATATGGGAGCTGTGTTTTGTTTTTATGAAATGGCCCTCTACCTTTCAGTCCACCCCTGAAAGCATGAATTAGCAAGTGTGAATGGGTTTCTAGTCCTTGCAAAGTTTCTCAACTAAAATACCTTTAAGGTTGACTCAGTGGCAGAATTTAATTTCCAATACTTGCTGCATCTGAGTCAGTCACTGCTCCAAGCTAAATTACTGTCTTTCCCTAAGAGTGTCTGGCTGTATTTTGTAAGTTCAAATTATTTTCTGGTGTGTGGAAGGAGGAATGGGTTAAGTTTAAATTCTGTTAANCTGGCCGCTCACGCTGGCTGCTGGCTACACACAGTAGCCCATGGCAATCCACTGCCACAGGGACTGCAGCCCACGCCATCGCCGGCGACTCATGGCAGCCCAGCTCCAGGTTGAGCTGTTGTTCAGCATCTTAGCTGCAGAGGCCAGTGTCACTGGCCCTCATATGTGGGATCCGAACCGGGGCCCTCTGGCATCCCAAGCGAGTTCTTAACCATCGCGCCACTCGGCCGGCCCGCTCATGGGTTTTCTCATCCATGCAAGTGTGTAGCCATCAGCCATGTTAATAGCACCTGAGCTGAGGTCATGCATTTCAACTTACAAGTATATATTGTCTGCTGAGCAAGACATTGTGCTAAGTGGGCCTTGGTCAGAAATCACTTCTTAGACCCAGCAGCAGCATCAATAGTGCTGGTGGTGGGTGGGAAGTGGTTGGGTCAGGTCTGGCCAGTCTGCCACGGTTTCAAGTTAACGCATTCTTACTGATGTGCAAATCAAGGAAGCCCTCTCCTCTCTGTGGCAGTATCCATGGGGACTACGCACCTGCTGGCCGGCATCCTAGGAATACTGGTCAATTCCAGTATTTACTGGTCAATCGTAGGTTCCTTTAAAGGTCCTGCCCGCTTATGATCCCTCCTCTGGGTAGTTGCCCCCAACAAAAGCCCTCACTGAAAGAAACAGTCCAAGGGGACATGCTCATGTTACATGACCCAGCCTCCTGGGTTACAGCTGATTGGATAGACACACTGACCCAAGGGTGCCTGATCCATGAACTGGACCAATCAGACTCAAGAATTTGCCCTAGCGGGCACAGAAATGGCAGTCAGAGAAAGATGGGTGCTAAAAAGGAAAGGTTGTGTGGAGTGGGTCCCAGGGTGGATTTTTAGCTACATATAAACCCATGAGAAAACAGAGAAAGCTAGTGGGTGGAGGGGAGCAAGAGGACTGAGCAGATATGCAGAGAGGAACAGAGATGAAACCTGTATGGAGAGAACATGAGAGCAAAAGAGAAGACACAGTCTCCATCCCTTTCCCATATGGGAGCTGTGTTTTGTTTTTATGAAATGGCCCTCTACCTTTCAGTCCACCCCTGAAAGCATGAATTAGCAAGTGTGAATGGGTTTCTAGTCCTTGCAAAGTTTCTCAACTAAAATACCTTTAAGGTTGACTCAGTGGCAGAATTTAATTTCCAATACTTGCTGCATCTGAGTCAGTCACTGCTCCAAGCTAAATTACTGTCTTTCCCTAAGAGTGTCTGGCTGTATTTTGTAAGTTCAAATTATTTTCTGGTGTGTGGAAGGAGGAATGGGTTAAGTTTAAATTCTGTTAAGTTTAAATTAAAAAATATCTTTTAAGATAATATTTGTTATTTTAACATTAAACATTGAGTGCCTGTGTGTTACCTAAAAAAAAGCTTATTTATCTTTAATCAATATTTAAATCTTTTGATCCATTTCCCTAATTTCTGCCTGTTATAGAAGCATTTCCTTTAGTCGGGTATTTAAATTCCTCTCCTCCTCCATCTCAGAAGCTTTTTTTTTTAATCATAAATCTAACAATTTCCTATCCATTCTTCCATCAAGATTGCTCAGAAATTACATGCCCTTCTGCTGAATCCTTAAATTAACAAATGCACAATATAACTTCTCCTGGGACCAGAGAATTGATTCTTACATAAACCACCCTATTTTAGTCAGCTTAGGCTGCTATAACAAATTACCATAGACTGGGTGACTTATTGTATATACAACAGAAATTAATTTCTCACAGTCCTGGAGGCTTGAAGTTCAGATCAGGATGCCAATGTGGTCGGGTTTTGAGCCCTTTTCTAGGTTGCAGACTGTCGACTTCTTATCTTATCCTCACAGGCAGAAAAGAAGGCAAGAGAGCTCTCTGAGTGGGAGGGGGGTTCTTTTTATAAGGACACTAAATTCATCCATGAGGTCTCCACTGTCATGATCTAAGCACTTCCCAAGGCTTGGCACTTCCTCCTCCTAACACCATCACAGTGGAGGTTAGGATTTCAACATACAAGTTAGTGGTGGTGGTGGTGGTGGGATACAAACATTTAGTCCATAGCACACAATAAAAGAGGCAACTTCCTGCTTCATAGGTAACAACTGCCTTTTCACATCATAGGTACCAGGGCACACAATAGACCTTTTCCTGCACCACTGGACTGCCTCCCCCAATGCAGAGCATGGAATCTGCTACCTCACAAGGACAAGTTATCAAGGCCTCCGTGCCTGCCTGTTTGGATCCATGGCACTGAGAGAAGAATACACATTAGTCTTGAACAGCTGTTGAGAACACCATTTCCTTGATGACACTCTCTGGGAAAAGCCAAAATGCATTTCTTTTCAGAATGCAGAAAATTCACGTCAAAACTAGTTGCAAAAATGTTTATTATGCCACAAATGCATTGTCCTCTATACAGTTTATCTGAAGTTCTTTACATACTCAGTCATCTCTTTTCTTCACAAGAACGTAGGGAATCTCTTATATGACCCTTGTCTACTTTTTAAACTTCCTAGCAGAGTTCAAGAAATGCATCATAGACAAGCGTGCAGGCAGCATGGTGAAATGGAAAGCAAGTTGGATTATGAATCAGCAGGCATGGGCTGGAATCCTTGGACAGGTCACTTCACCTCTCTGGACTTTCACTTCCTTCTCCAAGGTCACCAAGGTCCTGTAGCTTCTTCAATTGTCTGGAGGGTCATGAGGAACACAAAGCCTGTGGTTCTCATGGAACTCTATTTTCACTTCCACGAGACACTTTGGCCCATCTGCCTTTTCACCGAGCCAGCTGTCATCTCCATGAGGTCAGGAGACTTCAGGGAAGGGACTACATCTTAGTCACAGAAAAATCAGACAATGGCGGCTGTCTCCCCATTGGTGGAAAACATGAAGAGACTGACTTGTTTCAAATTCACATTCTCCTCCCATATACTTTTCTTAAATCTGTGGTGTCTAGTTTAAGGGGGGTGCCTGATTTAGCACACTATATTTTTAGTTTTCTAAGTTGACAAACTTAGTATTTCATGGGGTTCTGTAAAGGCCGCAATGATTTGTTTTTCCAACCTTTTAGCAAGCTGGAGCTGTACCACTGCAAACCGTAGGCTCATTCTCTGTCAGTCACCGGCACATCCACAGCTCGGACACTGCCTTGGAATCATGTGCACATATTTTAATTACACTAAGCTCTTAAAACTTCATTTTCACATAACAACATTTCCAGGCATTTACCAAGTAGACAAAGTACTGGGTTGATGTCATTGCTCTAATGAAATATTAATATTATTGATAAGGCGGGACAATGTAGCTGACTTTATCTGACTCATACCATTTGCATGAAAAGGCTGAGTTTCTTTGGCTCTTTGTTCATTCAAGTGCATTGAATACCAATTTGGATAGACTTAGGCATTGCGTTAATCTGTCGATAAAATCTTGCACTGTCCACAGTGTTTTGCAAGCTGATTTAGGTTTTGGATTACAACTGGCCATTGGTAGAAATATACTGTATATACACATGGCAATTACAAAAATACATTTTATTTATAGCTGATTTTTTTTTTTAAGTAACAAAAAACTACCACTATGAAAGATCAACCAGCATACCAAAAGGACACTACCTAATAGCATCTGAACAAGAGACTTGTTTGGGAATTCCATGATACATCATTTCTAGAACATTCCAGAAAGGGCAATTTGCCATTGGGAAATAAAAACAGCTTCTTTGGAAAGTCTGTGCTTTGACAGTTTGAATCTCCCACTCTAATCAGTTCCATTCCTACTCTTCTCTCAACTTTTAAATTTCCACATTCTCTCAGTAAAGACCAAAGAAACTCATGAGGAGAATGGAGAGATGGGCTCAGAATGGATACAGCTGAAGCCAGATGGATCTTGGGTGAAGACAGGACAGAATCTCGTTCTCCAACAGACACCAAGTGAATCTCCAACATCGTGCATGGCTCCCAAAGTTGGTGAGGGAACTGGGGTGTTTCCTCCCCCAGGCTACCTGAAGTCAGCAGCTGTTTTGCTTTGCGCTGACTGTCTGTGGCCAGTGTCTCAGGGCTACAAGACAGTGTCCACCAGAGCTCTGGAGGTCGACTGGCCATGGCAGGGAGGGTGATTTGCAACCTCACCTTCACAAGGTCAGCAGCCCTGCCATTTCAGCAAATGTCCTCCAGTGTTCATTAACTACAGGGAATGGGAAGGGAGAGGACTGGCTAACTCCATACACTTTTTAAAATGTTATTTACATTTAAATGTAAATCAACAGATTTTCTACATTCAGAAGCTTCTATAAACAGAGTGCAGCCTGAGGAAACTGTGGATCCACTATTCCTGCTTCTAGCAGGCATTAATTACTAGTTCCTTTTGTACCACTCGGCAGCACAGGCTGGACGTCATTGTTGAAGAGACAGAGATTTTCTTGTAAAAGTCAACATATTTATTATTCCAAAAAAGAGAGAAGCTTCATTCTCAGGCCATCTTCATTGCGGGGGGAAAAAACAAACAAACAAACAAAACCCCTTCACCAATAACTCTTTTTTTTCTGTAGGATCCTAAAAGCTCTTAGCATTGCTTCTCTTTCAGCAAGATCCCAACTTGCAGGGTACTGCAGTTCCAAAATAACAACACCTTTTCAAAAACCTGTCAACACAAATTGACCATTCCGTCTCATCTTCTCTCTTTTTTGGCCTTTGTTTAATTAATGGGGGAAAGGAGCATCAGGACTACTTATAGGTACAGTCATCGATAGCACTGCTTTTCCTCCAATGCGACTATGAATCTTTAAAAGAAAAGGGCTTACGTTTCTTGGCTGGAGTCAGTGACCCCTTACAGGCCGGAGGTGACTTTAACGATTATAGTCACGACTGAATGAGAGAGAGTACAGTCTGGTGTTTAATCACACGCCTGAATTGCCTTTAACACAGAAACAGAGTTAACATGCAGAGGTCACCGAAGATAGAGCTATGTTCTCCCCCTTCTGGTGATTTATCGAAATGTGGCTTTGAACAGGAATCTGTAGGGTAGCTAGCGTCTCTTGTGACTAAGGCTCCTTAGGGAAATACACCCACAGTTCAAAACAGTTAACATAACAGAATATCAAACATGTGGTCCCAAGCAGGGACATCTTGATGTACAATCAGTTGAATAAGCTGAGAATCCAGTCATTTAAGAGTTTTCCTCTGTTTCCCAGAAGCCCCACTGTTCACCTTTTCAGAAACTGAGGGTGATAAAAACTCACTCGCTGTCTAGGCTTCAAGTTCCAACACGTTAGGCTTGAGAAACCCGAAGACTGTCTCCTCGGAGTTTGGAAGTCCCATGGAGCTAAGGCATTAGACCTGGAACTCAAACATATCCGTCTGTTTCTTGGCTAGCTTGGCCACCTCTTCCCTGATGGCCTTCACGAGGGCCGCTGTGGAGATGTTGGTCAGGGGTGTGTCCGACGGGTCGTTCTCTGCCAGGCTCTGCTGGGAGGCTGCTGTGGAGGGCACTGGGGCCTGCTCCAAGCTGGGGTGCATGCCGGCCGGCTGGCTGTACTGGCGAGGGAGCCTGGAGGGAGAGTTCTGCTGATAACGTGACCGGGGGTAAGCCTCGATGTACCCTGGGAGGGGGACCTGCAGAGAACGTTGGGTGAGGAGAGAGGGGCCTGGGATTAGGAAGGGGCTCAAGTCATAGAACACATCTGATACTGGAAGCAGGAAGTCATTGAGGACAAGGAAAGAGATTTGGAAGAAAATGGAGGCCACGTACCATTGTACAGATACAGAACCTGGAGTCAGTTTGTTTAGAAAATAGGTAATTTGTATTCACTGGATATGCTGGTTTGGAATACACCTGAGTCTACATCTGAATCTACCTGGCTACTTTAAAAATATAAGCAGAATCCAGTGAACAGAAGTGTTGAACCACTGCAATAACTCCCAAAATTATAGTACTTTGGAGATATTTGATGGGGCAATAATCCTACAAACCATCAGAGACCATCTTACAAATGTCGTTTTACTATAGTGAGGCATAATAATGATGTAGAATCATTTGCTAAAGACAAATTGAATTATGCTCCTATTTTAAAGAAGAAGGGGGGAAGGATATAATTCATTCTAAAAATTTTAAAATGCAACATGGCATATATTTTTAAATATTTTAGAAATTAAGGGGTACATTTTAATAATCAGGAAAATTAATATATGTAGGATAACGTCATCCTTGAGGATGTCAGTTAGATGAGGTATTACTATAGTAAGAATGGACATCAACACTGAAGTTGCGCTGAACCTGTAGGGGTAAAAGTATGGGCCCTAGAAGTTTGGACAAAGAGAAAAGATGACCCACGCCTTGGGTGTCAATGTGTTTCCTAAATCTTGGATGAATTTCAAATGTTGAGACTATACCCTAAAATGCATACAGTACTGGGGGCCCTAAGGTTCAGCCTGGAAATATAGCCTGTCTTTCTTAGCCATGATGGATAATTTCACACAGGGATTGGGCAACTCAGGCTAGGAGCCATCAATGTGCTATTTTTGTTTGCTTGCATTTTTGTTTTTTTTCACTTAGTAGCTCTTGACAGGTGACTAAGAGGCAGGTTTGGATGTGAATATCTACGTTCATCTGGTTACTGCCCCAGTTTGGTCCAGGCTGGGCCAGGTCCACTGTGCCATATACTCTTAGCTGTAATGACGGAAGAAACCAGGGAAAACAAGACAGTCCTTGGCTGGAAGTCAGGCAGAAAGTCTTAGGAGATACTTGCAAAGTAATTCAGCTTGAGTTTCTAATACTTCATTTTCAGGTATTTTATCTATAAAATTTTTATAGGCCAGCCGAGTGGCTCAGTTGGTTAAGAGCTTGCTCAAGAGTGTGAGCTCTGAGCAACAGCGGTTTGATGACCGGCCCGAGCTGAGCTGTCGCTGAGCTGCCAACTGGTGGCAGGATGGCTCAGCTAAAAAAAAAAAATTTTTTTTTACAGAATTTTAAAGCTAAAAGGAACAAATTTAAAAAGGCTTTGGAGCCAGACAGATGCAGGTTTGAATTCTGGCCTTAGCACCTTACGAAAGTTGTGTGGCTTGAGATTAGGCCTCAGTTTCTTCATCTGCAAAATGGGATGCATCATGGAAATAAAATACCTATCTGATAGGACTGTTGTGAAGATTAAATAAAATCATAAATAAAATATCTAACATGGTGGCTGGCACATAGAAAATACCCCCAAGATTGTAATTATTATAAAGGTTTATTTGATTAAGATGGCCCTGCTAAAATGAGGAGGAACCTAGACTAGAAGGCAGGTCTCAAGTTCTTCTGTCAAAGGACATCCTGAACCTTATCATTCTGTCTCCTCTAAAATGGTTGGCTTCAGCCACCTAGTTGGTGGAAGGGGTGGGGGCTGAGATAACAAAACACTGTCTCAACCTCTCATCCATTTTCTCCCTGAGTATAAACAGGTAAAGTTGTGAGGGACTCAGCAAGGGTCTCACCGAATCGGCCCACTGGCTTGGGAGTTCATTCTCTCCTGCATAGGACATCCAGGCCTGGTTCCTATAGGATGAGGGAGGTGTCGGGATGAAGTAGCCCGTGAAGCCGGGTCTGTTGGCAGCTGGGATGGCAAACACGGCCGGCACTGTATTACCTGGCATGGAGGAGATGGATGGGGGAGATAAGGTTAGCACGCTACGCTCTGGGCTGACATTTGCACAAGCTGGGGGAAGATGGGAAACAGGGGAGGACTCTGGCATTAGGGGAGATATAATGGGGGGGGTAGCAGACCTCCATCTGCAGCCCCAGCTCTGCTCACCTGCCCAGTCAGTAATGGAGGCATGATCTGCTGTGACTCAGACACAGTTTTCTAAAGAAATTATAGCTCAACTCCCCTCACTGAGCCCTCACCAGCTCCCCCACACCCCATCCCAACACTGCAGGCCTACTGGCAAGAGGAAATGACACCTGGTGTCCAGGTGTTTTCCTCCCAGGAGGATGGGTATTTTGAAAGAGCCAAGAAAAGAAACCAAAAAGAATGGATTCCATTGGTGAAACTTCTGGACACAGTGATTGCTTTTAATAAGTGTTAACAACTGGGTGCTTGCAGTTTTATCCTAAAAGTAATGGTTTGAATGAACTAAAAAACCAATTAGGGCATGTACAGACCTCCATGTTCATTTCAGCATTGTGTGTGTGAAATAAACAAAAACTGGAAACAACCAATGTGTCCCTCACTTGGGGAAAGGATAAACTGTGGTATATCATACAATGGAATACCATCTGGCAGTTTAAATGAATGAGCTAGATCTATATGTATGTAGTAACCTGGAGAAACTTTGAAAGCAATGTTGAGTCAAGAAAACAAAGTGCAAAAGGAAATACATAGCTTGATACCACTTATGTAGATATAAAATATATACAGCATTAATATATACTGTTGTATACACATACATATGTAGCAAAAGGTTAATACCGAAGATTAAGGATTGTGATTACCTCTGGGGAGAAGGGAAATGAGATGGAGGTGGATAGTTGTAGCTGTAATGCTTTAAAAAAAAAAAAAATATATATATATATATATATATATATATATATAATAATTTAAAAAAACCCAAAAACCAGAAGTCTGGCAAAATGTTAACATATACCCTGACTGTAACATATCTTAGTATTTTGTCAGATTTCAGATCTTTTTAATAAAAGCAGTAGCTCTTCTAGCCAGGGCTACTGAAGGCACGAGGGGATCCCGGGGAAAAAGAAGACGCTTGGATTCCTGTGGACCGCAGGTAGAAGAAGGTAGAATGTGGATTTGGGGCTGGGGTGCGCCGCTGGCCTTTCTCCTCTCGCCCACCTGAGTAATTTAAAGCCGACTGATCCAACTGCGACACGGACACAGGGCCTCTGGACACCTGCGCGAAGGAGGCGCTGTCGTGCATCTGGGCCGGCTCCGGCCCGGCGGACTCGGCCATCCTGGTCTTGCTGCCAACGTCCGAGGTGGACCTGGGCGGGCAAAGGGGCTACGTTAGCCGCTTCCCTGGACTGCAGCCGCCGGGCAGTCTCCTCGGGGAACCGCAGGGCCTCCAAGACCTGTGATGGTGGGGTCCTCAGGCCTGGATTTGCCCCCCAAATAACACAGGGGACCAACACGCCCAGACCAGCAACAGCCATCGTGGCGCCCGAGCTGGAGTCATTTTTAGATGTATTCAAGGTCAGTGCTCCCCTGAGGGTGGCTCTTGTGTCTCTGAGAGTAAAACACTTAATTTCCATATAAAAATAAGCCAAGCAATTAGCGCTTGGTATTAGCAGGGGACGGTCGACCCGGGAGGTGATGACATCATCGGCAGCCAATGAGAAGGCTCCGTCTGGAGTGGGGGAAGGGAGCGCCCCCCATCCTGACACCAGGACGGGTGACCGCTGGGAGGACTATGTTCCCTGCTGCTACTGGCAGAAAGAAAGGAGCTCAAGACTCAGGGAAACTCCAGGGGCAGGAGCCTAGCTCTTCAGCACTTCCAGAACATTATGAATGAGAGAATACTTTTTTTTGGTCCCACAGGCAAGCAGAGACTCCAGCTCATTGAACACATCCTATTTCCACTTACTGCTCAGAGAGCCGTGTAAGAAGAGGGCAGCCTGAACTCAGCGAGCCTGGGCTTCTCCCCTTATTGTAAGGGGTGCTTTAGCCACAGACTGTCTTCCCTTTCACAGGGGACTCCACACTCCCCTAAAATGAAAATGGCAGGGGGGCAAAGGCAGCCACAGCAGGTAGCAGGCTGCAGGCTCACAGAGCCACCCTCTGAGCAGAGGAGCAAGAGGCTGTCACTGTCACTTAGGAGCAAATAGAGCCACAGCAAGGGAGCCGGGTATTGGGGCAGAGGTGTGGGTTCCTGCTCCCTCCGTCTCCGAGCCTCAGTTTCCTTGTCTGTAAACCGAAAGGGGTGGATGACCCTATCTCAAAGGTTCCTCCCTGGTCTAATTCTTTGGGTTTGTATAGAGGACAGTGACCTCCTGATATTTGGCAAGGATGGCAGGCAGTGTGGCAGGACATGGGAGGAGACTGGTGGTTGAGAAAAGAAATGAGATGGATGCTGGCCTCCCACAAGCAAGCCTACCACAAATGGTGGACATTTAGCTTCTCCCAACTAGAACCCTCAGGAGGAACAGAACCCCTGTACTAGTCTCCAGGGAGGGCTAACCACAGAGGCTGCGAGGAGTTGCCTGTAGATCAGGGTGGGTGCTGGAGGCTCAGCAGTGTGGGGTATCCCTTTCTTTCTCAGTCCCTCCCTCCTCTTCCCAACCTGCTCACTCCCACAGTCCTGGCTTCCCACGTGCTGTTCCCAGCACCTGCGACTCCTTCAGAAGTCACAGGAGAATTCCTGGGTTCTGTGCCATACACTTGTCCCCCTTTGAAGAATCCCACACTCTTTGAGATCATTTACAGATAAGGAACCAGGGATCAGACAGGTGAAGCAACTTGCCTGGAGTCACACAGCAGGTTATTAGCAGGTTAGATGGAACTGGCCTTCTGTGCCCACCCTACCCTGAACTCGGCTGGGGCCAAACGGTGGTGTCTACACACAGCTCGGCATTCTAAACCACTGGAAATGAGGGCAGGATTGTTTCTGAGGGAAAGTCATTCTTCTTCACTGTTTCCACCAAATTCAAGCCTGTGGTCCACAGATAGGGTATAACTAGTGTGTTGGGGGAAGGCCAGGGCGGTGGCTCCTATATACTGACCTCTCCCAGTGCTCATGGCCTTTCTGTTTCTTGTCTGTTTTTATTAAAAACATCTGCTCTTTATATTATTACAGAGCAAAGAGAATGCTGGACGTGTGCTTCAAAATGGACGTATCCAAGTTCATGTGCTTTCAGCCTCTTCCTCTTGGAAGTCAAAAGCTGGGGTGGGTGCCCAGACATGCTGTTCCCTGGCCTCTTGGACACTACCCCAGGGGACTTCCGGATGTGCACACATGGCAGTAGGCGCCCACGCTTGAGGCAGCCATTGTAGTGGCCCAAGCTGGAGTAAGCTTTAAATGCTCCACGTCAAAGATGGGGCTTTCAGGGTATGGGGTAGTGGATGTTGGGTTTCAACTGTGGGTTCTATAGGACTTTCTGTTAAAATGACAAGAAAGTGGGTCAGCCCTCTCTGGCCCCTCCTTCCTTCATGGTACTCGGGGTGCACTAGGCACATGGTTATCCATACAGGTGATAGGCAGGGCATGAAGAAAGTCTGTCAGGTCGGGGCACAGAAGACCAAGTACTTTCCAAGTATTCCAAACAAAGCACAGAAAAGAATGTGTTACCGCCTGAGAGAAGCAACTGCCACAGGGCCAGTCCGAGGAGGTACAGGCGGAGGGGGAGAGCCCATGACCATTTCAGGAAGCTGGGAAAACCTGTAGGCCTGTGAAAGAGACAAGCAAATAGAGGGAGGTCTGTCAAAACCCAGAGTTGATCAACACACAGGCTCTTCTTTTTTTTAATTTTTATTAAATTATTTTTATTATGAAATACACATTTTTTAGAATTAGTTTCAGCTGTACAACACAGTGCAATAGTTATACTTTTTACCCCTCGGAGTGACAACCCCCCTCCCCAATCCGCTGCCCCAGGCTCTTATTTAAAAGGGAAGCAAACTTCCGAGGGTCAGGCTTTCCTCTTTTCCTCAAACTTTCCCTTAGATCTTTCTTAACATGCTCCCCAGCCCCTCTTCTGTCTCATCTCCTACAATTCTCCTCTTTGCTTGGGCCACTGTAGTCACAGAGCCCTTCAATTATTCTTTGTCAAGGTGTTCTTGGCAATTGACTCTGCCAAGTTGTTTCCCGCCTGGGCTTTTGTACATGCTGCTGCCTCTCCCTGGTGTGCTTTTATCCTTGCTTGCTTATCTATCTATCTATCTATCTATCTATCTATCTATCTATCTATTTATCTATCTATCATCTATCTGTCTATATGCCACGAACTAGACTGGAATGAGGGCAGGGACTTTGTTGTCAGCTATATCCTTGCGCCTGGAGCAATGCCCGGTATATCACAGATGATCAAGAAATATTAGATGAATGAATGAACCATTGATTGCATTTTACTTTCTCATTTATGGAAAGCAGGTGTAGTGGGGGAAAGCAATGGGTATGGAGTCAGGAGTTAAGGGTAGAGGGGCTGGTTTGCTGATGAGTAGACTTTGTGTCCCTAAGCAAGTTGAGTGACCTCTCTGGGCCTCAGTGTCCTCTTCTGAAATGGGGCAAGGATGCCTTGCTTAGAGGGGTTCTGCAAAGATCAGGCAAGTCAGTGTATGTGTAAATATTTTGCAATCTATAAAGCACTATTCAAAGATAAAGCATTGGAACTATCACAACAGTGACGACTTTCATCTACACTTGAGGGGATACAAGGACGATGGTCAGTTATAGACGGGATCAGAGAGGCAGGCCACATGGCCTTCTTTAGCAAAGAAAATCTAGAAATGATCTCTGGGAAAACAAAGCTTAACTTGTGCTTCTCATTCACTTTTTTTCTGTAGGTATCATGACCTCCCAGATCTCTTGAGGAACAGGATGACAAGACTTTAAACCTGAAGGCATCAGGACAAAAAGCAGCGGCAGAGGGAATCCATAAATAGGATTCTTTAAACTGAATGAGTGTTCTCTCTCCAGCATTATGGCAGACTACACATTCGTAAGGGCCAACTCACTAAATAGCAACTAGATCCTGGGTAAACATACCTTTTAATGCACCGAGGGAATTAATTGTAAGATACAAAAGAAATACCAAGGACTCTACCCTCTTCGCCAGCTCCCACACAAACATACCTCAGCAAACTAAAATAAAACCATGAGCTGAAATCAGAGGTGGGAATAGTGAGTAATAAGCAAATATGAAAGGCCAGGTTGCCTAGAAGACAAATTTCATATTGACAATCAATTAAGAGATTAAGCCTTGGGACAGGGCAAGTTGTGGCAGGTGAACCTCAGACACTCACAGTCAACCTGGAAGGGGGCTAACATTGGTCCCTTCCAAGGAGGGAGATTGGTAGTGCTCCCAGGCTCAGGTGGAAGCAACTGTGAGTCCTTTTTGGAGAAAAGTATCCTTAAACTAGGTTCTCAGGATTAGCACAGATTAAGGTGAAGCAAACAGGAGTTCATAATCAAAGGCCAGAAAACATAAGTGAAAGTCAGCAAAAAAAAAAAAAAAGAACAACAAACAACTTTTAAAAACTTTAGAGTTTGAAGTTTCCAGGTACAAAACAGAACATAACAATGTAAAACAAAAAAAAATTTTTTTTAAAACCAATTGACCAGACAGAGATACTACCAAGAATAATCTGGCAGATTTGAAAAAGAACAAATAGAACTTTTAGAAGTGAAATGTAGGTTGGCTGAGTGGCTTGTTGGTTAAGAGTTGGCTTGGGAGAGCAAGCTCTGAGCAGCAGGGCCGCCGGTTTGGATTCCACATGGGCCAGTGATGCTGCGCCCTCCACAGCTAAGATGGTGAACAACAGCTTGACCTGGAGCTGGGCTGCTGTGAGTCGCCGGTGATGGCATAGGCTGCAGTGGGCTGCCGTAAGCTACCGTGAGTGGCTGGAAGCCAGTGTGACTGGCCAGCAGCCAGTGTGAGCTGTTGTGAGCCACTGTGAGTGGTCATCCAATGGCCAGTGACGGATCTGCCTCAGCCGAGAAGAGAGCAATGATCACAATACTAACATGGGCCAATGAAGCGATGTCCTCCACAACTAGACTGAAGAACAAAAAAAGGACAGCAACTTGTCTGATCCCCTTGCTTGATTCCCCAGGGCTGTTCCCTCCCCCAATTCCCCAATTAAATCTTAAAAAAAAAAGGAGTGAAATGTAATTATTAAAATCAAACACTCAACCTGGGGGAATTAAGTAATAGATTCATCACAGATGAAGACAAAATCAATAAACTAGAAAATGGAATTGAGAAAATGACTAAGAATGAAGCACAAGGAGACAGAAAATATAAAAAAGAAGTAAAAGACATGGAGGATGAAATAAGGCCTAATATCCAGCTAATCAAAATCCCAAAGGAGAGAGGTTGGAAAAAGGAGGAGATGCAATATTTGAAGAAGCAATGACTAAGAATTTTCCAGAATTGATAAAATCAATAAATTAATCATTTCAGGAAGTACAATGTATCCCAAACAGGATAAATAAAATAAAACATCTAGATACATTGTAGTAAAATGACAAAATACCAAAGGCAAAGAGAAGATCTTAACAGTAGCCAGAGAGAAAGGCATATCATCTACAAAGGGATTATAATTAGACTGACAGATGACTTCTTAATAGCATTTAGAAGATCATGGAACGCAAAGTGCTCAAAGAAAACAACTGTCAACCTACAAGTGTATCAGCGATACTAACTTTTCAGAACAAGAGTGAAAGAAAACATTTGCCCAAATCTAGAGTTACTGACTAAATCAATAGGAAAGCTACATTGCCATGCTGTATTTCTTTTTTTCTTTTTCTTTTTTTTTTAACCAGTAGATCCTAAGCACCTTGGGGTTCAGCAACACAATCTATCTCATCCTGGCACTCCTACCTTCCTACCTTACCAAGCAAAGTGCTTTGCACCTGGTGGGCTAAATAAATTTGTTGAATTAATGTTGAGTGAACCAAGAGTTTGGAGACCCAGCCTCTCATCTTGATTCAGTCATACATTTTCTGTGGACATGTTATTCAGTCTTCTGTTCTGAAATAAGGCATTGGTGGTGGTGGTGGTGGTGGTGCTGGTGGTGGTATGTCCTGGTGAATTTGGCCCTTCGTTTACCTGCATGATGACACCCTGGAAACTTTCCTGAACCCTAAGGTTTTGCAGAGAATTTGAAAATCATTGTCTTGGATATCCTTCCAGCTTTGCATTCCATTATTATCTATAAACTGACAAGGACATGCCTTTCCCAAAATAGAGAAAGGGGTTTATGGCCCCTCTTCTCTGTTCTGGCCTCTCACAATATTCCATAGAGGAGACAGACAACCTATTTTTATCCCTGGTTCTTGGAAGGCTTATTCTCCAGTTAATACAGTTTTCCAGCCAAAGAAAAGCTTTCTATGCCTGTGTCTGTCCTATAGCAGTTCACCAAAAGAACTGATTAAAAGTTTTGAAGTCTTGACGAATACCAAGGGAATTCCCTTCTTTGGAAGACTTTTCCTGGTACAAAGCAAGGCTGCAGAGGAGATCAGATGACTTCCAAGGCCTCAGGAGTCATAGAAGGTTCAGGATGGAAAGAGTGCAGGAAACACTGAGATCACACCCCTAACCTTAACAGAGAGGGATACGGAAGCCCAGAGAGGTAAACTGACTTGTCCAAAATCACACAGCCAGTTAAGGGCACTGTCTTGCAATTCTGAGCTAAGGGTGGTGTGGTACACAGGGCATGGGTTTGGAGTCAGACAAAACTGGCATTGAATCCTGCCTTGGAGCCTTACCAGCTATTTGACCTTGAGCAACTGACCTTCTGTGTCTTCTTTCTCATTTGGTGATGATCATACCCCCATTTCAAAGGCTGTTTGAAAGACTCATTTTACATGTTAATATAATATCTGGCACACAGTAGGTACTCAATAAGTGATATTCTCTTCTTTCTGAGACACGATAATATTTTGATATAGTAATTGTAGTAATCAAGACCCCTCCCACCCCCCACTCCACACACCACACACACACACACACACACACACACACACACACACACAGTTCCTTGAATCCAGGGCCCTTCTGCTGCCCCAGGTAGTGAGGGCATCCTGCCCTCACTCAGAGAAGGAAGGCCACAGCCACTGAAGACGGCCCAAGAGCCAGTTCTTATTAGAGTTTCAAAAGCCAGAACTATAGAATTGCAAGAGTTTAGGATTCTGACTATCAAAAGCCTAAGTCCTAAAGCATTTCAGGCCTAAGGTTGATGCCCAAACAAGAGATTTGGAAGAAGTGAGGCATTCAGACTACTCTGCCCTTAGATTAGTAAAACACCCTTCAGATAGGAAGGAGAGGAGAGTTGGAAGGAAGCAGGAGACTTTAGATGCTGATGGGTCTGGAGAAGGAGCTTTGTGTCCTGCCTCGCTGTGGGTTGGAAAGGAAGGGGAAGCAGAAGAGAGAGAAGAGGATATAAATACTATAACAATTGTGGGAATCTGAAAGATAAGGGACCTGTACCCACTTTCAGGAAAACCCAGAATCAGCACAGAATTCTCCCACCATCCCCAGAGTTGAGAGAGAGAGAGAGAGAGAGAGAGAGAGAGAGAGAGAGAGAGAGAGAGAGAGAGCGAGCATTCAAGCATGGGAGGAAGGGAGGGAGAAGTCTGGAGAGATCTTGTTAGCAGGAGGACTGGAATCCAAGATCTAGCTGTGCTCTACCTGGGCTAATACCTGGACACTGGACACTAGGTGGAA